AACGAGCCATAAGAGGAGAGTAAAGACTCTGCAGCTCTCCTCATCAGACAGAGACATCTGCCAGCAGATGAGCTGAGTTGCACCGGATTCTCCAAGAATCAGGTTGTAAGGTTGTCTCTATAAATGCGCATTTATGCTTTTAAACAATACTGTATCTTATTATAATTGTTTTATTAAAATAATAAAAGAGGTTTGAATCTTAAAAGTACCTGTGTGCTACATTTTTCACCTCGGTACCAGGTCCACATCTGAGGAGAAAAAACGAGCTCAGGTGGAGAGAGTAAGTTCGGTGTTTGCCAGCAACAAAATCTGGAGGTCCCCACCGAGATCTCTTCTGCGTTTGGACGTTACGGGGTGGAAAGAGTCCAGGACACTGACGCTCGGATATCCTCAACAGAATCAAAAGGTGAGCAGACTACCTTTAAAGCTCTGTGATTGGTCTTCTTATAGGCAAATTTGTTGTCAATGTGCTGGACTCCAGAGATAAAGTTACAGTAAAGTAAAAAAAACTAAGAAACGCGCATATTTAAAAGTAAAGTGAGATTTAAGTTACCAAGCCAAGACCCAGACTCCAGGTAAAACACGCAGTGGCCATCAGCCTGTGGTYGACGGGCCACAGATAAGGGGAAGTGGGGTTCTAGGGCGTCGTGGCCTGCCGCCAACTTCTGTAAACCGAGACTGAGTTCATAGTGTAATCTCGCAAGGTTTTGTGGCTTGCTAAAAACAGTATCAATTTGCTTATTAATTTGCCGTTTAAAATAAGTAGAGYGGAGTCTGGTGAGGTAGGTGTATATTAAAGTACCAAGTAGGCCAGAATGCACCCGGTAAAATAATAAGTACTGACTGGTTCAAACCTCTTTATAATAAGATACAGTGTTAAAATTAAAATACCCAATTAACAGTACAAACTAATTAGAAATAAAACTGAATCACTAAAATATAGGGCTGGATCAAAGATAAAAGTAAAATAACAATTTCCAGAGTGCTTGTTAATTGCAATATTAGTTTAAAATAATAATAATAATAATAATAAT